ATATAACTGTAGGACAGTCTGTGGTGCGTTCACTGTCCATATAACTGTAGGACAGTGGAGTGTTGCTGGTTAGCTCATGTGTCTTTTCCTGTGTGCGGTCTGCATAAGTCCGGTTCTGTATCTGGATGTGTTTGTGGGTTTGCTGGATATTTTGTCTGTGCTGCAGTGAGGTCACATGATTTTAGACTTGAGGAGTAAAATATAATTTGAGCTTCTCGGGAGGTGACGGCTCAGTTTTAAAGGACCGTTCTCATGGTACCAGAGCGTTATTTTTGAGAAGGCGCTCGGTTCCGTGCATGTGTGCGGTGCTGGTTGTGTGTGCTGGACAGTGAGTGTGTGTTTGTGGAGACAGTGAATGGAGGATTGTGTGGATGCGACCGTGGAGGCTGGTACAGAGGCAGGCCGCCCTCTCAACAAACACTCTGTCTGGACGCCGTTCAGGACAAACCTCGGACAAAACGCTGCTCTCGGGTCAGCAGGTTCCTCCGGTCCAGCCTGAAGGTACAGTACGGAGGGTTTTGGAGCATCTGTGAGCTTCTTTCACATCATCGTTTGCTATTTGAAGGTCAGTGTGAGTCATTTTCAGACGGTGATGTCGCTCCATCGTTCTGTTCAGAGTTTGCTTGTTTGTTATTTGCGACCCAGAAGTAAGTACATTTTGGCTGAGTTTTGAGAACTTTGCCGTTCCACCAACTTCTGTCTGCGTTCCACCAGTCCCACGTCTCTGGGACGGTTCTTTCTGAAGACACTGAAGCTCTGTCTGTGTCTCTGTCGGCTAAGATGTTTATAAAGAAATTCCAAATACAGAACTTCTCGCGTGTGAACAAACGTGAAAATCTCAGAATGTTTCACAGGACTCGGTCTTTGAACGCACCGCAGCAGCATATTTCATGAATCGGTTCTACAGAATCTCACTGAGCTGAACGGCGTGTTGTTGTGTTTCAGCTGGTTCGGCTGCTGCAGACACTGGCCGGCCTGTTCCGGACCACACTGAGACCGTGTGTGATGTTGTGTTGCGCTGCCCTTTAAGGATCCATTCATAGAATCGTGGTGTTGTTGGTCGGCGGGTACAGCAAGGCACCGCCGCTGCTGGAGGGTTTTGTAGTCAGGGCTCCGTCTCTCTCCATCAGCACCAGCAGGTCCACTTCAGTTCTAAGCTTTTCAGACTTCTTGCTCTTCTCTTAACCGATTACTCATAAAATCAGCCGTCAAACTGGTGTTCATACGAGTCTACGTGGTGGTTTTATGTGTACGGAGCTACCAGCTGCTTCCATGTTGTCATCATGTGGAGATTTAACAACATGACGCCGATTTTTCCTTCATAAATGTTCCCTGAACGTTCTTCTGGGGGTGAAAATGCAACCTAGAAGCTACTCAGATTTGGTTTCAAGTAACACAGACGTAAACCACAGTGTGCTGTTGGACGCAGTGATTCCACATTTTTATTAAAATGAATAATCACAGAAGTTCATCTTCTGAGCTCTCGACTGGTTTGACACCTTTTAGGCTGGTTTCTAAAAAGGATTCGCCTCAGACTGGTTTTACACTCGATGTGGCCGTGCCGGTTTAGACCAGTTTGGACTGGTTTTAACTTGGGTTTAGACCAGTTTGGACTGGTTTTAACTTGGGTTTAGACCAGGTTGGACTGGTTTTAACTTGGGTTTGGGATGAGTATTAGACTGGTTTCGGGCTGGTCTTTACTTTATTTTTTAGGTCTTTTCCACTGATTCTCTCTCCTCCTTCATGTGGTTCTGGTTCCACAGAGCTGCAGAACTTTATGCTGAAACATGAACCAGAGAAGGAACCTGAGACAGAAACAGAAAATACTCCCAGACACTTCTCTGCCTTCAGCCAGTTTTAGCGTTTAAAGTTTAAACGTGTGTGATTTTGTGTTGTGTGGAGTTTAAAAGTTTAAAAGTCTTTTTTTGTTTTGAGTCCATTGAAAGACATTTTTCAGCGTAATTAATTCCAGATGAACAAACACAGAAGGAGGAGCTGAATAAATCACATTTTGGTTCTGATAGGAGTGAGTGGAGTTGTGGGTGACTCTTGTGTGGACACTCGGAGGAAACGTTTTATTGAGTGTTTGTGTGGACGGGCCTCTGAGCTCACTCTGACCCGTGTTCTGGCTCAGATACCTGCAGGAGGTCGGATACACCGACACCATCCTGGATGTGAAGTCCCAGCGGGTCAGAGCGCTGCTCGGTCTGACCGGAGACTCGGGAGACAAACCTTCAGACAAGAAAGCCGAGCCGATGGTCAACGGCACCGAACCGTCCTCGCTGAAGGACAGCGGCATGGTCAGGTAGACGCCCGGCCGCAGCCACACCGGCGCTTTCTCAGAGCATTCGTCAGAAACAACAACGCGTGTCTTTCCTTCCAGTAAACCCGACATGTCCGACTCGGCCACCGTGTTGGAGGCCTTCAAGTTCATCGAGAACGCCGCGACGGAGTTCAGCGACGAGGACGAGGACGAGGACAGCGAAGGGAGGGACAAAACCATCCTGGACCTGGCGGCGGTAAGACACCGTCTGGACCTTCTGATTTCTCTGAAATAACCAGAAGCTTCTCACATCGTATGAAGGGTTCGTTGCAGTTTGTAGAATCTGACAAATATTTTCTCTTTAACACACGTCGGAAGGTTTTCTTCTTTTTACCAAAGTTACACCATTTAAAAGGGTTATTTTTAGTTTTCACTCTAAATTCTGAGATTGTTGGACTGAGCTGCAGGCTGTGGGCTTCAGATGGAGACAAGAGGAGACGAGTACAGAAACAAAACAGGCCAATATCTACAGCATGGAGAGCGTCCAGCTTCTACAGAGCTGGTCACATCTGAACACCTGGAAACATGCAGGACATTTCTAAAGTTAACAATCAAAGAAATTCAAGTTTCGCTTTTCTTCTCTGGTCTCCACGGTTCTGAGTCCTGCTGACAGACGACGTCTCTGAGTTCTGTCTTCATGTGGTTCTGGTTCCACAGAGCTGCACAGAAACATGAACCTCAGTGAAGAAGAACGAGACGGTTGAGGTTCAGAGGCTTAATCAGTTCGATTCAATTCGAGTCGTCTAGTCGAGTCTATGAAATGTTCACAAATTGTAAAGATTCCCAGTTTGTTGAAGGCCACGGTGAAGCCAGAGCGTTCTCCAGCTCACCACGGTCTGACTGCACCTCATTGTTCTGCTACAGGCAGAAAAAACGCTGCGGTTCGTTTGTATTTCTTTAAACCAAACACGGTCGTGTTGGGCGGAGCTAAGCCCAGGAAGCAGTGATGGTGTCCCTTTGAAATACCGTAATGTCCGGACTATTGAGGCACCTGAATATAAGCCCCACCCACTAACTCTAAACAGGAAACCAGGTGTGTTCATATCCAGGCTGCACGGGTCTCTAAGCTGCAGGTGTCCACGTTGGAACATGAGATATTTACACAGAAAGATGTTTCAACCTTTAATTAAATGCGTAGCGGTAACATCCACAGATACGTACCGTAGAGGCTTTTTTCTGAACACTTCCTGTAACACGGCTGGTTAAGGAAATAAAACTCCAGCAGCTACCAGGAAAAGTCACTGATGGCTATCTTCATCTTCCTCCTGCACTAAAACCACTAAAGTCGTCTTCTTCAGTGTCTTCAGGAGCTGAACAGCCTCAGAATCACTTCATCACTTCCTCAGTCTCTCTGTCGTCGTCGCTCTCAGCCTCACTTTGGTCTCCAGGTGAATTCGTAAAAATCCATCAATTAGCCGCATCGTTGTTTAAGCCGCAGCGTTCAAAGCGTGTGAAAAAAGTAGCAGCTGATAGTCCAGACATTACGGTGGAAATGTTTTGGTGGGACATTAGCACAGGAGAGAACTAGAAGTGTCTTTCAAAAAGAATTGAGCAGGGCTGCACCGTCCAGATCCTTTTCCAAACCTTGAGATGTTCTGTCCCAGCAGGTTTGTGCTCTGAGTTTGTTCCCGACGTGAAGACGACTGTAAACACGGTGACACATAGATGTTGACCTCCGACCTACATCTGGGGAGTCGGACTCGTTAACTCAGAACCAGCTGTCAAAAACCTAACAGCTGATTAGTTGGTTGTCTAATATGACCAAGAAAAACATCAGATGGTTGCACAGAGCCAGAGAGTAGAGCCTCGTGTCAAGCAAACCACTGCTTCTGCTTTGTAGAACGGTTTTATTTGGATGTGAGTGACTGCTGTGTGAGAGCAGAAGCATCCGTGAATGAAGCACAGTCTACCCGCTGCTCACGTTCCTCATTCTGCTGGTAACTCTGCACAGATGGTGAGGAAGAAACAGTCGTCCACGCCGTCTTCCACCACGTCCGACCTCAGCGACGACCTCGACACGGAGGAGGCCCTGAAGGGTTTCGACTTCTTGGCGAGTCCTGACGAGTTGGACGGGTCGCCCGAGTCCAGGAGCGGCGAGGACAGCGGAGAGTGGGGTGAGCAGCTGCTGGTTTGCTGACAACAGTAATAAAGAAGTTTCACCTCAGTTTTGACGTAATACTCCAGAACGCAGTGACTCCAGAAGTAGCTGCAGCCTTTTTTTATTATCGTTGGCCTTTTATTGACTCTGAATAACTTGAAACTTAAAAAATAAGAGGACCTAAGATGCCACCTTGTGGAACGAAAACTGTTTCTTGACTTGATTTTACACTTTCCGACCTGTTAACTGCAACTGAATTCCACTTTAGAGATCAGTCAGTTTATGAGACATTAGTTTCAGTTTGCTGCAGTCCCCGAAGAAAGTAGGCTTGTGGAGGAGGTTTTACATGTACACACAAATATCACCAAAAGGTGAGGAGTTCCTGAACGCAGCGCCGGGCTCTGTACAGCCGGTGACCTGGCCGTCCCTGAACTTTACACCAAATACCCCTTTTTCTAGCGTTGCTTAGCAACGCGTTGCGTGCCACTGGGCCAGCGGCAGAACGCCTCCCCACGCAGTCAGTGATTCAACGCTTCACGGTCCAGATAGTTGTAGAGGAGCTGACTCACACACATCCTCTGCTGTCCGGGCGCTAAAAGCCTGAGAAGGAAAGAGGAAAATGTCGCTTTGTCTTTATAATTTAAACACTCGCCTTTCCCCTGACAGGCGGCATGAAGCCAGCTCACATAACACAGTAACGGCAGCCTGTTTGGCTGCACGCCGCTCCGTTATGAAACACATTTGTCATCGAGCCCACGCCACCCCCGACGTACCGCTCGCCCCGGGCCACCAGGAGGCATGATGGGAGCCGTCCTCGCTCGCCGTCTTTCCTGCTCGTGCTCCCGTTGATCAGCCGTAGCTCTATTTTTATCACCAGTTCAACCGTCAGCAAAAGCTGAAGCCGTTTCTGCCTCGGATGAAAGCGTTCGGCTTTCATCAGAAGATCTCCACTTTTAATTATTGATGCAGATAAATGCTTCTACCCTGTGATGCGCCACAAGGGGGCGCTGTTCAGCCCCCATCAGAGCAGCGCTACACCTGTCCAACTGCCAAACTACGCCACCTGCAGCAAAGGAGGCTAACAGCAGTTCAGACCTGCAGGTGACAACATGTCGCCATAAAATCTCAAGTTGTGCAGCTGCCTAGTAACATGTATGACAACATTCAGCATATATGTGTCACGTGTAGAATGTATTGGAATAGAAAAAGGTAAACTATGTTCAGATGCCTGTAGTGCAGGAGATACTGAACACGTCAGCTCAGTAGCTTAAGTGGAATACCAGTCTTTATACATTCAGCAGCCTCTGTATTCATGGAGAAACAGTCTGTGAAGTGTTTGACATCTTAACGTCACACAACCAGTTTTCACCCATAAATCTGATCTCTGAAGACAACATTTAGCCAGTTACACATTAAGACTGGATGAGATTAACCACTGACAGTCACACAGACAGATAACAATTTCCTTATTTTGAATTAAATTTCTATCTTTTCCAAACACTTTAAAGACTCAAAAATTAAGTTTAAAGTTCCTTCTTCACGAATGAAGCGGCATTCGAGCCAACAGCGCCTCTCAGGGTCCATGTCGTAGCTGTTGTCGCCAATGGACTCATAAAAAGCTTTACTTCTTGATTGTTATAGCAGCTTCTCTCCGAGGTCGAGGATAAACATCGAACTGTTTAACGCTGTCTTTTCCTAAACAGCTCCGCAAGAATGTGGCCTGAATGAAATCTGGTGAAAAAATAATGGCAACCAGGACACATCTGGATGTAAGAACTCAAAACTTTTGCGTCCTTTGCATCAAGAGCTCTGCTGCTGCCACGCTACCGCTCACCTGTAGGAGGCGATATTGGCCTTTTTATATCGGCTGATTTAGCCGCCTTTACTCTCTTCGCTTATAGATGATCACGTCAGTATTTCAGGAGACGACAGCTGCTGTTAGGCCTGTAGGTGATGTCTTCAGAACGGCTGCTGTTAGCATCTTTACCTCTAGGAGGCGACATCAGCGCTTTCATGTCTGCAGCTTATACTCTTGTTCCCTGTCAGAGACACGGCTGCTGTTACGCTGTTTGGCTGCAGGAGGCGACGTTGTTTTTATACCTGCTGCTGTTCCACTCTTTGCCTGTAGGAGGCAGCATAGGCACAGCTGTGAAAGCTACTGGTAGACTTTTCACCTTGACATCAACAGTTCTGTATCAGCTGCTTTTACGCTCCTTGTCTGTAGGAGGCAACATCAACGGTTATTTTAAAAAAGTGTTGCTGTTCTGTTCTTTGCCAGGAAATAGCGACATCAACAGTTTTACATCAGCTGCTGTTCCACTCTGTGCCTGTAGGAGGCGACATAAACACAGCTGTGAAAGCTTCTGTTACACTCCAGCATCCTTTGGATTTCCAGCTGTTGTTTTTCATCAGTTGTTTGTTGAATTTAACTCTTTTTTGTCTCGTCTGTGTTTGTGTTTCCACATCCACCTTTATCGTGTGTTTCTTGTTTGTTGGTTTGATGTTAGAAGAGAGTCTGGGGTAAACTGCTGTGTCGATGCTCCTCATGTTTCTCTCCTACTGTGCATTTCTTATATTAGCAGGATATCTACTGTGGTTGCAAGCTAACTGCTTAGCAACACTGAAAGTCACAAGAAATGGTTTTCTTTCATATCAGATATTATATTTATAGTTCCACCTTTAGTGTAAGGATTGAGATGAAAGGATCTACGTTTTAAGGTAGAACTGCAATCAGGAGGTGGCTGGCTTAGCTTAGCTTAGCTTAGCTTCCAGTCTTGGAAGCAGGGGAAACCGCTAGCTTGGCTCTGTCCAGAATGATCTAAAGCTAATTTTCTATCTACACAAAAATAAGTGAAATCCCAGATTGACTTGATGATTGTGTGTCCGTGTCCAGCTGTTGCACAAGATGATGTAAACCTGGTTTTGGTGCAGATTAAGCAAACAGGACGTAGCATGCTGATCAGTACACCTCAGAGCCGCTGGTGAGTGTATTTTTTTTAGCTTTGGACAGAGCTAGCCTGGCTTTTTACCCCTACTTTCAGTTTTTATGCTAAGCTAGGCTAGCTATGCCCTGAATCCACCTCTGTGCTGAGCACATGGGCAGAAGACTGATATTTATCTGAATGTCTAACTTTCCAGAACAACTGTCTCTTGAGGTCTGTGTACTTTCCAACATTAAATCCTTTTTTAACTGTCAAACTAGTTGCTTAGTTTGTGTTTATGAAGGAGTCTCGGTTAAAACTACAAAAACCTTGTTACCATGAAAGTGGAGTGAACAACCGAGGTGAGTCCGCCACCGAGCAATGTCTCCTAAATGTCACATGATTCTAAATTCTCTCTCAATACCTGCATTATTAACACATCAAGGTGAATAGTTGAGTATTTTCTTCAGTGAATGATCAAAACCCAATATTTTATTTTATTTTATTTTATTTTATTTTAGAGAAACAACAACAAAAAAACATCATATTGAAAATTTAACGTAGAAACTCAGTGAAACCAAACTGAGTCCAGCTGTGGTTCCCATCAGTCTACCTGCATGAACTTGGTTCTCCAGTGAGCTGAGAACAGCAGAACCTTCTCAGTTCTGAACCGAATCATCTGACATTTGGTTGGTTGTTCAAAAGGCTGTCGTGTGCTTCAACGTCGTCCGTCCTCAGTCGGTCTGTCAGAGCTCAGTTGGTGGATTTGAACTGTAGATCATCCAGACACTGACGGCAGGTTCTTACCCCACCTTCCTCCTCCTCCTCCTCCTCCTCCACCACCACCTCTTCCTCCTTCTCCTCCTCCTCCTCTTCCTCCCGCCGGCCTGTAGAGAAGGAAGAGCAGCCTCCTCTGGGTGAGCTGGCCTGGGACGTGGACCAGGGACTCATAGCCCAGCTCAAGGAGCAGTACAGGAAGGAACGCAAGGGCAAGAAGGGGGTGAAGAGTAAGTCCTGTACCGGGCCCATGTTCGTCCTTTATGTTCTCCGTGTGACTCCCATGTTTTCTCATCCTGCTGTTTTTCCTTTATTCTGACGCCATCTGTAACTCCAGACCTCATCAGTCTCATGTCAGACGCATCACTGGCCGTCTGTGTCATTTCAGACACAGTCAGGAAACGTTCTGCTTCGCCGGCTCACACTTTGTTTTCCTGCTTTTGTCACGTGGGACCCAAAAACTAGGATATTTCAGCTAAAGTTTGAGGATTTCTCGTTTTCAGAACTGTGAGTTTTTGCATGTTTACCTTTTAAAACAACAACCATCTTGTCATAGAATCCATTTTAAAGGTCTGATATCTCCAGAAATGTAACTCACACGATGATGAGGTTTGGTGAGACAGTTTCCAGCAGAATGATGAATGGATCCAGCACAGGACATATTTTTAAATATTGAACCTTAAAATAAACTAATATTTTCAGTCCAGGCTGGTGCTGATCCATAAAGTTGCTGTCAGTGTCTGTCTATGGATGGATCCATGGTTCTCCTAGAATCCAGTCTCTGTTGAGGCTCTAACATCAGCAGAACCTGATGTGGTGAACTTGGACCAGACAAGGTTCCAGGTCCCAAAATGTCTCACAGTTGTCCTACATGACTCGAAACGTGTTTAAAATGACTCAGAATTCTCTGAAATGACTCTAAATGTCATATAAATGTCCTGTTTTAGTTCCCAAATGACCTAAATTGTCCACAAATTGACAGAAAATGATCCCAAATTGGTCTAAAACTGGCTTAAAATTGTTTAAAATTACTTAAGAAAAGGCCCCAAATTATTTCAAATTGCCCAAATAATCAATCAGGAATAATCACTGGCCACTGAAAATGGGAAAAAAAAGGGCAAAATGTTGAGTCCAGGCTGGTGCTGATCCATAAAGTTCCTGTCAGTGTCTGTCTATGGATGGATCCATGGTTCTCCTAGAACCCCGTCTCTGTTGAGGCTCTAACATCAGCAGAACCTGATGCGGTGAAGCTGGACCAGACGAGGTTCTACATCCGTATACTCTTACAGGGACACGATACCACCAGTGCTTGAAAGTTTTGAACCCTTTTCATTTTCAAGGTGCATTAATTCAAATAAGCGTCTCGTGCTGGAGCCATTCAATTGTTCTGACCTGCTGGAAACGGTTCCGTCTGAGTCCTCACCACCTTTACCGGCTGTGGAAGTTCTGAACTCTTAAAATGTCTTCACGGGTAGTTTTCAGGGTGAAAGTTTAAGAAGTCCCAGCTCTGAAAAGATGGGAAATTCTCAACATTCAGCCAAAGATAATTGACAGAACAAATAAGTAAAGTGTGAACAGAACCCGAGACAGTGCATCACCGACCCGGTGAGCAGTTAGGCTCCTGTTTGGCTCTCTCGGTCCCATTTAGTGGTGTTTCTCTGCTTTTCCTGCTCGTCTCTCCTCCCTTTTAGTGTGAAAGGGTTTCTGTGTCGGACTCTTTCTTTTGTTTTCTTTGAGCAAAGCCCCGGGCCTCGTTTCCTGAAACCCATCTCATGAACCGCCTTTAGCCGGAGAGGTTTTTCTCCAAAACCACCATGACTGGAGAGGATCTCAGCAGGACAGTAAATGTGTGTGAAGAAGCTGCAGAATGAACCATGAACTACACGTTTAGGTCACTGGTGTTTGTTTTGTGTGCCACACTGAGGACTGTGAGTTATACGCCCCAGTCATCCAGGTCACGGCACGCTTTAGTGCTCCATGAAGGAGCGTGCCGTTAAATTCCTAGTGTTTGGTCCTCAGGCTGCTCTGACATGGAGGTGACTCGACTACCAGCAACGTAACTTCTAACTACACACAAGTCCAAACTCTGATCAACGTTATCTGTGAATACGTCCGGAGGAGGCAGAATTCCAGTCTGAGCTTCTACAGCATCATTCTGACCAGTTCAGGCTTCATCTAAGACTCTAGAAAGGTCCATGTGGACCAGAACTGAACTGGAACTAGAATTATGACTGTTTGGAATTAAACTGTAAACATCTCAAACCTAGTCTACGACCAGCCAGAACCGTAGATGTCTGTAATGAGGAACACGTGAGAGGTGAAAGCGGCGTCATCTCTTCTGAAATAATATCTGACATCTGAATAACTCAAGTCCAGATTTGTGCAGCTCCAGTTCAAGGTAGAACCAGCCAGAGTCCAGGCGGTGTCCATGCTTTGGCTGGTCGCTGTATTTGTTCTGGTTTGTTTTAAGTTACCAGCATTGATAGAAAACGCTCTGGTATCAGGAGACAGGTCCTGGGCTTAGCTCCGTTTGCTCCTTTGTTCTTCAGGCTTGTCCTCATGTTAGGATCTTCACGTCTCTGTTTGGCCTCCTGAAGGTTCCCTTTAGTCTCTGCAGCTTCCCAAAGCAGCGCTCAGACAGATCCACGGGCAGAAACCACTGCAGATCAAACCGCTTATTTCTGTATTCTTCGTGTGAAAGCTCAGTATCTGACTGTTTGAGTTCTGCGGCCTCGTCTGTTTCTGTCCTCCCAGCTCGTCACCTCTCCTCGCTGCCACTTTGTGTCTCTGGTTTTATTTGCCTTCATCCTCCGCTGCGTCCATCTGCTGCTTTACCTCCATTCCTAACGCTCTGAACATCTTTTCCTCACAATCTTCCCTTGCCTCCGTCTTCTGGTTTCCTCACTGATTTTCATCGCCTCCTGTCTTTCCTCCTCCAGGACCGAACCGGTCCAAGCTGCAGGACATGCTGGCCAACCTGCGGGACGCCGAGGACCTTCCCTCCATGCAGCCGGCCGTGACGCCGCCCTCTCGGCCCAGCGTTCCCAGGCTCAGCGAGCACGAAGTGGGCCGCCCTGAAGACGGTAGCTGCCCTCCCTGTCAGCCAGTCAGCAGAATCTTTCTTCAGCAACTCTGACTCAATGTTCAGGTTTCTGTGCCTGCTTCGTCCCACAGAGGCCATGACGTTCCTGCCGTCGTCGGGGAAGTCCTTCATCCTGGGCAGAGTGGACGAGGCGGTTTCCAACGAGCTGGGACTGGGAGAACTGGCCGGGCTGACCGTCGCCAACGAGGCCGACAGCCTGGCGTTCGACGTGAGTCGATGTGAGGCAGGAAACGTGTCAGGCCCTGCTGGCTGGTTCTGATCCGGCTAATCATTCTGACTGGTCAAAGCAGCAGTTAGAGACCTCTGTAACTCTGATTGGACCGCTCAGAATAACCAGACAATCTCATCCTGACAGCCCGACGCTGGCAGCTGATTTACAGACAAACACCTCTGAGTTCAACCACCAGATCAGTTCTACATCATCCAGGTGTCTCAGTCTGAACACTGGACCTGGTTCTGGTCATGTCCTCTGTCAGCAGCTGGTAGCATCAGTATTATGGGATGTCTCATAGTGGTAACATAGAGTCAAAGAAACAATAATTGGTACCCTGGATGTGGTTCTGGTTCAGTCCGACCAAAATAAAT